AGACCCGCCACTTGCATCACAGATACACCAGCATGAACGTAAGCGTCAGCAGCCGCCACGCAGATTCCGCTAGTTTCACTGCCGCGTATATGTAAGAACGAACTATATGGAAACAAGTAAAAAACAATTTCGGGGGAGAATGGAACCTCATCACCAATGTCTCTCAGAAATCAGCTCTCGTTCATCATTTCCCTAATCCACCTTGCACACTTGCGACTAAAACGTGTCTAGTTAAACCGTCTTCGTGCCCTGTTAATACAATAACATACTGTAATATACAGAACCCCATGGTTGGGTATAATGGGCACCCTATACTGTATATAACCTGCCACCGTATAACATGCCCGCGTGTCCGCCTGTTCACTGCGTCCGCCTCCCGGTCTTTCCTTGGGTGACTCGCTGGGTTTTGCTTGCATTAGAATATACATATTTAAAACATATATATATGCACTAAAATATTTAAAGCATTAAAATAACCAAATCTAACCTAACCTAACCTAACCTAACCTAACCTAATCTAACCTAATTTAACCTAATTTAACCTAATCTAACCTAATTTAACCTAATTTAACCTAATTTAACCTAATTTAACCTAATCTAACCTAATCTAATCTAACCTAACCTAATCTAATCTAACCTAATCTAACCTAATCTAATCTAACCTAATCTAACCTAACCTAATCTAACCTAATCTAACCTAACCTAATCTAACCTAACCTAACCTAACCTAACCTAATCTAACCTAACCTAACAACTTAACCTAACCTAACAACTTAAAATAATCTAACAACCTAACTTAACAACTTAACCTAACCTAACAACTTAACCTAACCCAATTTAAATATTTTAATGCATGTGCATATTTTAAACATGTATATTTTAATGCAAGCAAAAGAGTCACCCAAGGAAAGACTGGGAGGCGGACGCAGTGAACAGGCGGACACGCGGGCATGTTATAGGGGGGCACGTTATCCGGGGTTCCCGGTATAATTGCCGTTTTACTGATGGATTATCAATTCTTTTAGCTTAACGTATGAGCGACCTCTTCACATTCAGATAAGTAACAAATTTGCGCTTTGAATACTCGTTTTAGCCAGGTGTCAACCCTTGTTATTCATCCGGCAGGCAGTACCACAACGAGCATTGTTTATTTTTTGCCGTAAATTAAAAGACAGGCAACGTCGCAACGAATACCTTTTTCTGATTCATGAGAATCTAAAAGCATACAAAATAAATTATTTTCAACGCACACAAACTTTTCTTTCATAGTAGCTAAATTTCGTTTGCAGGTGATCTGTCTGAGACTGAACAGCATGATTCGCAGTTTGGACTCAAAACAGCTGAAATTAGTCAAGGCTTGTATAAACCATACTTGAATTTGGATACGGAGTCCAAAACAATGGAATTGATCCACGAATTTTCACAAAATGATTTTGAACCCTTCGCCTCCTTCGATGTATAAATTATGTAAATTAAGAAAATCGAGTAAAAGTACACAGTAAGATAACTCAAACTTTCGAACTCAAAAGATTACTCGAGACACTAATAAAATCAATTCGAAGAAACGCCTGCAAAACCTTCAGGAAAAATCCTCACCTCAATCTGCTCAGTCTCCAATACATAGTTGGCTGCAGAACCGTCGACTTCAAGCGAGGCCAATAAGATAAACGATACGGTCATAAGCGTGCCAGATGCCAGATCTGCTGAATGTCTCAATGTCGTCGTGAAATAACGACCCAACGTAATATCTTCCATCTTCGCCGGTCTTCTCCAAACGATGGTTCACTATCAATTACCACAAAGCCGTGAATATATGAACGGTATCAGCATCATATAATAAACTACAGTGTATAGTACTATACTCCCGTTGTGCCGCCAACTCCTACATGTTCCAGAATTTCAGCACACAATTATGAAAAACTTCTCAAGCACAATTAGCGTGGAAAAGCAACTTCGTCAAATTACGAGCGATTCTCCTAGATATTGCATTGAATTATTCTTAACAGATGATGAAATCTATAGTAATTTAAACAAATTCCACTTCAACGCACAACGTGACGATCAAATTATTTTTGACCATTACAGAGGCGACGTCTAAATTAATCACGCGTTTCAAGCCAAGTTCTCAAGGACATCTTTAGGCATGACGTGGGAAACTCGGGCGGAACCCTTCCTGAATTTCAGAAAGTAGAATCAGATGCTCTAACACGAAGAGTACGATTCCTTTTTAAAGATATACAGTATCTGAATTACTGTACTTTTGAAACTTCGGATACCCGCGATTACATCAGTACTGCCATACAATTCACTTTCCTGCGTCACAATAATCTTCACTTTCTTTCCAGTGGCCCCAGCACTTTAATCAGCAAACTTGGTGCAACCTCCTCACGAATTGTTCTATTCATAATCGTACAATAGGCTGGGAACGTCAACCATTCTTCACTGAAGCTCACTCAACATTTCCGGACATTAAAAAAAAAGAAATGGAACAAACCTGGAGCAAATGTCGGTTCCAGACGAACCGCTGGTCAGCCCGTTCATGTAATGGCAAGTGAACAAAATCGGGGCTGGTGTTGTGCAAACGCTGCAACGTGTGTGACAAGTCGAATGACGAGTAGGAGAAGAAAGAGTTGTGAATGCGATGATGCACGAGTCCCACGTAAGCTTCATTGTTCCGCAGCTACCGCGGCGTCAAGTGCAACAGACTTTTGGCGTACTGATGAATAATCAGAGCTTGGGGCGGCTGTTAGAGGTTTGGCATCGTGGTAGGTGTGTTGACAATGTTTATTTTTGATTAATAAATGTGTCGTGTCGCTCTCAGACATGATGTACACGGGCTCGGCTCGAGTAAGGAAGCTATGGCAGACATTTCCTTAAAATTACACGTTGTCTCTGAGACCTAACCTGTTCGGCAATTTCTAACCAAGTCGGTACTGTACGTCGGACTGTACCGTTATATATTCGTAAAGGTGGTCAACTGTTGCGTCATAGCGTCAATTTTAGATTTTCAACTCAATGCGCCTATTTTAACAAAATGCTTCGAAAACAATTTTAATTTTTCCCCTGTAAAGTCTTCTTTAAAAAAAAGTGTGCTGGGCATGTAAATTTATGAAGGTCGGAAGCAGCAAGTGTAGGGTAGGGGTCAAAAAAAGCGTTATCTTAGGGTCCACCCATTTTTACATAGAAAACAAATTTTTTATCGACGGATAGATGACGGCAACTGTCGGCGAAGACCCCCTTCTTAACCCGGGTGCATGGACATTCCAGTATACACTTCAGCTTACCGCCGCTCACTTCCACGCTTTTTTGGTAAGGGGCTATTCACTTCCACACTCCCAGTGACATTACTGTGTGACTTCATGGATCACGCTTGTTGCTGAGTAATAATTTCGTGTTACAACTGGTGTAGGCTCAATATAGCATTAAAGTAAAAGCAATGAAAATCTAACCCACACAATGCTATGTATTTTAAAATATTTTAATATGCGCCATCTTTTGTTTTGCCCTATTGAAGGAGTAGAGATCTTCTGCAATCCATATTCTTACATAATTGCAGTTGAAGTCACTCATTGAGATCTGCTGGTGGCTCAGAGTGAAAGTGACCCTGGCAAGCCTGGCGTGGAAGAGGAATTCCTGAGCGGCTCTCAGTGGAAGTGATGACGGAGGAGGGCGTCACGCTCATCCTAGGCGTTACCGATTGAATGAAAAATCCAAGTTGTGGCGTAGCTTAACTTCTGCGGTAAATATTCGCGACGGGTGACATGATATCTGAAAACTACTTGAGGGCATCCAGCCAGTTGATGCCGTTGAGAAAATATCAGGTGCTTGTGTTCGCTCAGCATTTCATTCTTGCGCTGGACTTGTTCGTGAATATTTTCGGGGAACTGGTGGCGAAGAAGAACGTGCACCTCTTGATTCTCTACATGTGAGTTACTCTGCGGTTCTCAGTTTTTCGCGTTGGTGATGTTCACTTATTTTCACCCACACCAGCGTTCAAGATGTTGTACTGGTCTTCAGCCTCATCACCTTGTTTCTCAGCTTCGCCAGCACATACATATTTCAAGCGGGAGTTCTTGGCGTACTGCTGAAGCAGTTTCGTACATCTATTTGTGTAGTTTGCGTTTATCTCGTAATTTCATTGGTTTATCATGTATTAACGTTGAGCGCAAGATGGGATGAAGTTCTGGGAATACACAAGTGGTCACCCGGGGACATAGCTTTCTACGTTGGGCATCGAATAGGTAAGTGATTTCCTTGTGTTGAATTTTATCAAATTTTCACTGGGCGTCATTTTGATCTAGCATCGGCGTTTTACATTTACTTCTACCGTCGAACTGCGGTGCGGATGTCGGACCCAATTTTCTACGACCCCGAGCACTGGATTCAAATCGATGCCCAGAAAGTTTCCGATTCTCAAGTGCGGAAAGCGAAGAGGGCTGAAAGACGCAGAGGTGTTGAGCGGGAAGTTGAAGAGCGTGATTGACTTTATTTTTGAACTTATTCTAGTCGCTGAATCATTCTGCAAGAAATTTTTGTGTTCTGAAGAAATGTGAAGTGTTCGCACGAATAAATGTGTTCCGTCCAGGTAAATCATATTTTTGTAGCCTTTTCCGTTGGGCGTGGTGTCGCGTATGCTGAATACTGTTGTAAACTTCTCAGGAATCCGAATGCGATCGTGAAGCGCCGAGTGTGACTTATTTTTGGCTGACAAAAAAAATTTGCAGCTGAAACGGATGAAGTTTTCTTGGTGTTCGCAGGGAGAGAATGTCTGTAGGACGTCTTGGCCGGTCAACCGCGATGATGCCGTCCCCTCCGCCGGTCATGGACGTTCATTCGGAGTTGATGTTGTACATAACTGAAGAGCGGTTCTTCGTTGTGAGCTCGGACTCCGGCGAGTACTTGGTGATCGATCGCGTTACTGGCGAGAAGCGGCTTGAAAACCGGGCCTCGCGTGACTTGGTGCCTGCTGGGGCCGAAGGACGGGCCATTTATGGCCTTGTGGGCATCATCCGTGTCGTGGCTGGCCCATGTCTCGTTGTTGTGACCAAGCGAGAAGCCGTCGGTCAGGTAACGTGTAATAGCTCAACGGAATGACCAAATCGTGACTTATTTTTCGAAATCTATTGAACATCCTTATCTTAGCAATTCCTGACGCACCCATTTTACGTGGCTTGCCAGATGAGCTTAGCGACATTTTCGTTGAGGAATAATCTTTTCGTAATTTACATGTGCTAACTAATAAATCTAATGTTCACTGATACAGTTGTGTGGTGCTACGGTGTGGAGATTGGCGGGGTTCGAGATTATTCAGTACGCCAAAAGTCTGTTGCACTTGACGCCGCAGCAGCAGCGGAACAATGAAGCTTACGTGGGACTCGTGCATCGCACTTTGTCAATGCCCAACTTTTTCTTCTCCTACTCATTCGACTTGTCACACACGTTGCAGCGTTTGCACAACACCAGTCCCGATTTTGTTCACTTGCCATTGCATGCACGGGCTGACCAGCGGTTCGTCTGGAACCGACATTTGCTCCAGGTTTGTTCGATTTCTTTTTTTAATGTTCGGAAATGTTGAGTGAGCTTCAGTGAAGAATGGTTGACGTTCCCAGCCTATTATACGATTATGAATATAATAATTGGTGAGGAGGTTGCACCAAATTTGCTGATAAAAGTGGGTCCATATTAAAGTAAGGGAAAATTGTGACGCAGGAAAGTGAATTGTATGACAGTACGCTGTAATCGGGTATCCGAAGTTTCAAAAGTTATTCATCAAATATCTCTGTAAACACGGAATCGTATTCTTCGTGCTACAGCATCTGATTCTGCTTTCTGAAATCAAGGAAAGGTGCCAGCATTGGAGTTGCCCACGTCTCGGAAGATGTCCTTGAGAACTTAATTGTCTTGAAACGGGATTAATTTAGATGTCGCCTTTGTAATGGTCAAAAATAATTTGATCGTCACGTTGTGCTTTGAAGTGGAATTTGTTAAAATTACTGTAGATTTCGTCATCCGTATAGAATAATTTAATGCAATATCCTGGAGAATCGCTCGTAATTTGACGAAGTTGCTTTTCCAAGTTAATTTTGCTTGAGAAGTTTTTCATAATTGTGTGCTGAATTTCTGGAACAAGTAGGAGTTGGCGGCACAACCGGAGTTGTACAAGTTCTGCATACCGTTCATTCACGGCTTTGTGTCGATTGTGAACCATCGTTTGGAAAAGACCGGCGACGATTTTACGTGGGCCGTTATTTCACGACGACATTGCGACAGATCCGGCACCCGTATGTTTTATCGTGGCCTTGACGTCAGCGGTTCTGCAGCCAACTATGTGGAAACTGAGCAGATTGTGGTGAGAATTTTTTGCAAGCTTTTGCAGAATTATCTTCGAACTGAATTTATTCATGTCTCGAATATCTTTTGAGTTCGGAAGTTCGAGTTATGTTGTTTTGTAATGTTACTCGATTTTCTTAATCTAAATTTTTTACTTTTCACTTTTTCAGGAGGCGAGGGGTTCGAAATCATCGTTTGTGCAGATTCGTGGATCCATTCCATTGTTTTGGACTCAGTATCCAAATATCAAGTACAAGCCTAAACCGCTGCTGAGTCCAACTGCGAATCATGTTCAGTCTTATACGGATCACCTGCAAACGCAAGTTTACTATTACGGAAGGTACGTTTGAGTGCGTTGAAAATAATTACTGTAATTCTTTATGCATTTAGATTCTCATGAGCCAGATAAAAGTATTCATTGCCTTCTTTTAATTGGGGGAAAAAATGAACTAGTATTGACGTTCTTAGATCAGGGAAAGAAGATTTTCAGTGAGTAGATGATTATTTTTAGAGTTGTCATGGTGAACTTGGTGAATCAGCATGGGTCGGAGGGGGTGCTGGAGCGTGCTTTTGCAACCACTGTAAAAACAGCGGGTTTGGCAAATGTAACCTATGAAGCCTTCGACTTCCACAAGGAATGCCCCAAGCTAGACTGGAGCAGACTCAATGTGCTACTAGATCGTCTCAGTCCGGCGTTGGAAGACTTTGGCTACTTCCATATTCTGCGTGATCAGTCCGTTGTTGGAGAACAAGTGAGTGAATGATTTTCTAGTGCACGTTTATATGGAGAAAAATTAATTCCTTTTTTTTTTCAGAGTGGTATTTTCCGAACGAATTGCATCGATTCTCTGGATCGGACGAATGTGGTGCAGTCAATGTTGGCTCGCTGGAACTTGGACAGTGTGTTGAGGCGCATGAACGTGTTTCAGTCAGACACTGAGTCTATTGCGAAAGACCACGCCAACCTCGATGTGGTGAGTCTGTTTTGATTTCTTCTTCGATCAGTTTCATTATTGCTTTCTAATTCACGGTGGTTATTTTATAGATCTTATTTTTTTATCACTGTATTTCGCTGACTATTTAGAACCGTAATACCTGTACATGAATTGACTTTTTCATGACCGCTTATTTTGAAAATCTTGAAACTTGATTCATATGCTTGCATGGGAGATGAAGCACTCCTTTTAAAGATAGTATCAATCCTTTCAACCTGCAGGTGTCGGGTTATGTAATTTTTATAATAGTTTATTTCGATTGCTCAAGTTTTGAATTGGCCAAGGTTGGCATTTTAGCCGGAAATTTTTCAGTGGATGCAAAGAAAAGGAAATGTTCCTGGATTGATTCATTATTTTAATTTTGTAAGATTCGATTAAAAGGTTGAGATAATTTTACGTGTAGAGCAAGTCATGACGCATTTTTGTGTATTATCAGGTGTTTCGGAATGTGTGGGCGGATCACGCGGATGCCATTAGCGTGCAATATTCGGGAACCGGTGCTTTAAAGACAGACTTCACGCGATTCGGGAAGCGGACGTTTTCCGGACTGATCAACGACGGTGCGAACGCTTCAATGCGTTATTACCTGAACAATTTCGCAGATGGTGTGCGACAAGATGGCATAGACTTGTTTCTGGGAAGGTAAGTGAATGGAAAAGCTTTCTGATGAGTCCTGCAATCCAGGAATACAAATTTTCGTTGCTTAAACAATGGACAGATGAAGTTGAGATTCTATCAGAAATGAGTAGAGGAACAGGTAATGTCACTGTGTGGGAAGAAGTGGAAATATTAGGAGGAGAACTCGAGATTTTCGGTACCTCTGGCGATGATCCTTGGAATTTAGGCTGAGCTGCTCCAGGTTACTTAGTTCCCTTTCTTTTTGCTGCTGAAAAATTTAGTGAGAAAACTGATTTAGAAAATGATAGTCGCCCCTCCGACTCAAAAAGCAGATTCGCAAGTGCGTTTCTTCTTCTGAGCCGAATGGGATGTCATTTTTTTGTTTGCAAAGGTTTACAAATATTTCATTTGAATCCAAGAACTACTTTTACGTCAATTCCGAGACTTCTTCATTTCAGAAACTTCTGCAATTTCCTGACTATGTCTTATATTTTAGATACGTGGTGAAAGAAGGTGAAGGGTGCTCCTTGGGTACAGACCCTCTGGAAGTTGGACGCGGCACTGTGTACTGGCTCCTACTCCCGTTACTCTTTGTGGCTGTGGGGATGTGGTTTATGACCCTACTCGTCATGTCTTCGCCCTTTTCCACTGAAGGCCTGCTGTATCTCATGTTCTGGGGCGTGTTTGCGCTGGCCATCGTGGCGGCTATCACGAGACACGGTCGGGAGTTTGTCAACTGGCCGCGGCTCGTTGACCTGGACGGCCACGACGCGCCGCTGCTGGCCCGCAACGGACTGGGCACAGGATTGAACAACAGGAGTCCTCCGAATGGCCGTGTGGGCCACCAGAAGGTCGTTTGAATCGCTGTGTGTTTTTTATTGATCGCACTGTCTGTGGATGGGTTTTAAGGGGCACGGCTGTCCAACGAATTTCTGAATCCCTGTGTTACGACGTGTTTTCTTCCGATTCTCTTTCTCAAGCTTGTTCCGCGCGGTCGAAATTTTATGTTGCTTCACTTCATTTTTTGTTGTTGCGTGATGAATGAAATCAGCAGGATGATCCTCGTGCTCATAGTCCCTTGAAACAGTGTAGCGAAGATACAAGCTTGACTTTTGTGTTATGGGAAGCTGGGGCGGGGTGAAAGAGGAAAAAAAAAATCCTGATATCTTTCAAACCAAAAGTTCTTGGCTCGTGGAATACACATTTTCGTGACTACCACTTGTTGCTGGAGACTAAGAAATTGAAAATTTTTATTGGCCTCAACGATTTAAATCACTGTGGTAATCAGATGGAGGGGGGGGGGAACGTTTGCATACCCTCTGAAAAACGATTCTCGCTTGTCTGTTGTCTTGGAATTTTATAGGATTAATGAATGTTGTATTTGCCTTAAAATGGTAAAAATGGGGCCGTTGAGATAATTTCTGAGTTTTTCTTTCTTTTTCCACGACGTCCCAGCTTCCTTTGACTCTGGATTGTCAAGATTCATTTTTCGTTAGGATCGAAAAAGCGCTTGAATCATCGTGTCGACGCCAGTTTGTGTTGTCTGTGTTTCCAGCAGAGTCCTTTTTTTATGTGTACCTCTTTCATGAATAGTTTCAGCCCTCGGGAATGAATTCGTCCAGATGTGCTGTTGTGATAGTAAGGGAAATGATGGAAGCAGTACTTCTTGATTTTGTGAAATTGTTGCGGGAACGGGAGCACCGCTGTTTCGAGTCGAAGTTGCCGGAAGATTTATTGCTTACGTATTGATTGGTGCGTGGATAAATTCTCGTGCACGATTGTATTTACGGCGCGGTGGCCCAATGTCTAGGTGAAGAATTCGCCCGGGCCTTGAGTGAAGTGAGTGTTCTGATTTTTGCAATTTTTGTGCTAGATGTTAAACTTACGCGCAATTGCAAAATGTTTGCTCCATAACTTACAGAAGAAGTCGAGGTTGCAATTGGATAAAATCATTGGCCATTGTACAGAGGCTTGTTTTTGATCTTGCGATTATCCCCAAAAAGTTCTCATACATTTTGACACTTTCTGGTAGAAAAAAAAGTTTCAAGGTGTTCTACTGAGGTAATTTTTTGGGATATGTGTGGTCCTTCGGTGAATGGTTTGTGTTCAAATTTCAATAAATACCAGAAAAAGAAATTCTTCAATAAATACCAAAGGCTAAAAAGAAATCCGATCCAAGATGAAACACAAATAAACCAGTTTGCCACAGATGAGCGTCTCAGCGTGTATCCGAAAAAAACAACACGATAACATTGTGAAAAACAAAAGGCAACATAATTTCAAGTCACTGAAAGAAAGCTTGTTCAATTCTTTAAAAATCCATATCCTGGATATCTAGATTGGATATATAGTTGTAACACGAAATTATTACTCAGCAACAAGCGTGATCCATGAAGCCACACAATAATGTCCCTGGCAGTGTGGAAGTGAATAGCCCCTTACCAACAAAGCGTGGAAGTGAGCGGCGGTGAGCTGAAGTGTATACTGGAATGTCCATGCACCCGGGTTAAGAAGGGGGTCTTCGCCGACAATTGCCGTCATCTATCCGTCGATAAAACATTTGTTTTGTATGTAAAAATGGGTGGACCCTAAGATAACGCTTTTTTTACCCCTACCCTACACTTGCTGCTTCCGACCTTCATAAATTTACATGCCCAGCACACTTTTTTTTAAAGAAGACTTTACAGGGGAAAAATTAAAATTGTTTTCGAAGCATTTTGTTTAAATAGGCGCATTGAGTTGAAAATCTGAAATTGACGCTATGAAGCATCAGTTGACCACCTTTACGAATATAACGGTACAGTCCTACGTACAGTACCGACTTGGTCAGAAATTGCCAAACAGGTTAGGTCTCAGAGACAACGTGTAATTTAAAGGAAATGTCTGCCATAGCTTGGAATGAGCTCGGCTCAGGCACATGTAGTACAGACTCTCGCTGTGCTGTGTAAATAATTAGTTTTTATTTGTAACAGTTGTGTGCATGGTGCTACGTTTTGGAGATTGCCGGCGGGGTTCAATAGAGATAATTCAGTACGCCAAAAGTCTGTTGCACTTGACGCCGCAGCAGCAGCGGAACAATGAAGCTTACGTGGGACTATCGTGCTTCGCACTTCATCAATGCCCAACTTTTTCTTCTGCTACTCATCCGACTTGTCACACACCTGTGCGTTATCTTCTTGATGTACTTCTTGATTTTGTGAAATTGTTGCGGGAACGGGAGCACCGCTGTTTCGAGTCGAAGTTGCCGGAAGATTTATTGCTTACGTATTGATTGGTGCGTGGATAAATTCTCGTGCACGATTGTATTTATATACATTCTTGTCCCGTCTTCCGCTGGGGATGAGTAAGTGATGGAGCTTCTTTTGTTTTGTTTGTGGACTGCTCGAGTCGTCATTTTCGTGTGTGTGTGTCTCTCTCTCTGACGCCGGTGAGGGAAATTCAGCTCGAATGATATTCATTATTTTCATCGTGCGAAAATTTGGCGAATTACGTCTCTTTTTTTTTTGACGCAGTGAAATGACCGATATTTATTTCCTGATCATTATTTCTTTGTCTGAGGAGTCGTTGCAGCGCTAACGACTCAGGTTTTGGTGTCCGTTTGCCTTTGGGGGAAAGGAAATTTGTTCTATGATTGAGACAGACAAAATTGAGGATGTTGAATGTTTCAGTCGCTGAAGATGTTCTCTTTTCATTCTGACGCTCTCCTAAGCTGAAATATTGTCCTGATGCTAACGACGAATTCTCATTGAAGACGGCCTACGTGTTGTGCTACAATGGCGAA